CTGTTAACGTGACAAGTATAATAATGTTTGCAACTCTATAAAACATTTCATACCTAGGAGTTGTAATGAAAATCATTTTATTTTAAAAGTTGAAAGATTTAACACGTATAAGATTAAAAAGTGCGCGTGTATTATACGCGTTGATATAAATAATATATTTAATTTAGTAAATAATATTTAATAATACATTGTCGAATATACAATCATCTTGATGCTGATTCGGTACATGTCTTTGTTACTCCGCGGTCTATTCCCGCTGACGATTGCAATTTCTCTGTTCTTCAAGATCATTCGACCGTTATTTCTGATCTCAAACATGTTCTTCAATTCTTTGTTTTGAAGGCTTGTAGATATAAGAGTCGATTTCCAAAAGTCTTGTCTGGCAATCCGCTCGCTCACAAGATGTTGAGTACAAAATATTTGTTTCGCAAAATGTCACTACATTTATGTTTCAAAATTTTACTTATCAAACACTGTCAGTTGCTGAGAATCGTCGTTGTAATAAATTCTACATTCAAATCGACTTTTCCGATTCTTTCGTCTTTCTCTTCTGCATGTATATGAACCTTCCGTAAAAAAAAAAAAAACTAAATTATAAACTTGGCGCTCCGTGCAATTGAAATGAAATAACGCGCTGGGTGAAGAGGGATGAAAAAAAATTTCGACTTGAAACTGATGTGGTGATCAGGGATAAAAATAGCTGGCGACCGAGAGATTTATAATAGAGCAAAGTTGAAGTGAATAGGAGCAAAGTCAATGGAGGAGACTTTAATCTAGAATCCGATTACCTCTCTCTGACCCCGTTCTAAAAAAGTAATAAAAGAAGTCTGTAAATCTCGTTAAGCTATTCAAATCTAACTTAACCGCGTATTGGTCAAAGAGGAGATTACATTTCCACTCTATTGAAAATCGAATGAATCTGCTATAAGATTTGTATCTTTTAGTCAATAACGTCGTTAATACGTGTGTAACTTTATAATCGACCTCGCACGTTTTTCACGTTTTATACATATATATATATTATATAAAACTTTTCTTTTGATGACTCGTCAGTGTCACGCGCCAAGATTGATCGTCCAACCCTCGCGCACATCGTTTATTATCTCGTACACTTCGTTAAACATGTTTCGCGCCGTGTTCAAGACTCTGATGCTTTTGTTGCTTCGCTCACATAGAATTTTTACTCGTTCTCTTTTGATTGTTCAATTTGTATTTTTACACACGTTTTATAATCCGTTTCGTCATTTAATCCGTTTCTTTCACATGAGTTGTTTTTTTGAAGATTACAGTCGCACGTGTTTTTGTCGGTTTCGATACGCACCTTGAGTGGCGGATGATTGGCAACCGTGTGACTCGCACTCGTCAAGTGACATCAGAAACGCTTCATTCTCCCTCCATTGCTGTCCGTTGTTATGGCAACAATGACGACTCCCTTTCTGGCATCTGTCGTAGCGACAAGTGTTACGAATGTTCTCTTTAAGGACCACTCTCCTTCAGGACGTGCAACGGAGAAGATGTCGTTTGCGTCTCTAAATTAGTAGAGGAACAAACAAACGATCCGTCTTCTGAACTTGAACTTGTTTCCCTCTCTCAAAAATACACATATCTATTGTATTCTAGTATCATATTTCTAGTTAAAAAAAAAACTCTACGATGAAAAAAAACAGAATGCAAACTTTTTATCTTTCCAAGAGTTATAAAATGTTGTTTTTTTTATCGTACAATGTTTACACAAGTTTGCATTTCGTACAAACAATAACGTCGAAGATTGTCATACGCGTACATACAATATATTTGATCGATAGAAAAAGAAGACGCAATTTTTCTCGCAGAATTTTCATCTCGCGGTGTCGTTTGCATCTTTCGATCGAGTACTTGCTTCCGAGGAAAAAGCTTGCGCGCAGTTCGCACAGATCAATTTTCTCAACCGGTTCGCATAGGATTTCGCGCCTGCTTACCATAATCTGACAGAACGGGAGCAAACGAGAGATAGAGTATGCACCGTCGCGCGCTTATTATGTATTTAGCGTGTATCGTAACTCATCCGACCGCCACGGAGACTACGTAAACCCCCGCGTATACGGGAGGGCTTAGAAGTTGCGACGACTTATGATAGAACTTTGTGAACGCTCTGTGGTTTATGTATGCACCAAGGCCCATGTGTCTTATATCTGTAGTATAAGTTCCCTCTCTCTCCTTCCCTCAAAATTCGGGCTTGGTTCGTGTGCGAACGTGCGCGCATTGTGTTGCATACAAGCATTTAATATGCTAATACGACATTGTTGAGTGAATTCTCGTCCGTTTGTTCGCTTTTCTTCGCAGTTCTTTATATTTAAAATGTCGCCGAGTAAAAAAGTGTTTCGCTCTCGTACGATGACGCGAGCTGTTGCTTCTTTTTTTTATGGATGTAAAACAAATGATGTAGCGTGCAAAAGATGATGACACAGTTTGTATCTGTCGTTGCATTCTTGTAGCCGCTCTTTGATCTTACATTTAATTGTTTTTACATCGTCTTAACATTTATTTTTTGTGTTCAAGCAATACGCGATCTTGTTACTTTAATTTATCGCGAAAGACTGTGCAGAAGTGGTCTTTGTGAATTGAAATAAGTCTTTTCCGCGGGGAAAGATCGGTCGGTTGGTTCGTTTCTCGGCGGAGATTTGCACAGTTCTTTACCTGCGCAAATTGTGTGCACACAATTTGCTTGGGCGGAGGTCGAGATGAGGACGCGCGGAAATTTGAGCTTCTGCAGAAGGCGGTCGGTAGATATTCTTGAGAGTGAACCGTCTCTCGCGGGTACGTTTGCATAACTGCAGCTTCCCCTTTTGAATTAGCAAGGTCACTCTCCCAACTCACCGGGTTTCACCCGTGACTTCGACGACAAAGCACTTTGTCGGAAACGTGCGCTCGCGCTCGCGCGCGCGCGTTCTCTCCAAGTTCACCGAACACATTAAGAAATATCGCCCGGAGTCGGGAGGAACATTTCTTTGCCGGCGAAAGTTTCGCGGTTTGTGAGTAATTACACGAGCAAATTGTTCTCTCGTACCGAACGACGACGTTGTCTGCACGTCGTTTCATCGCGTGCTTTTCTTTGCCTTCTCTTAGTCTTTCTTTTCGTTTCTTGCCGGGTTTTTTTTTTGTTTTTTTTCGTCTCGTTTCGTCGTTTGGTCCCAGATAGTATAACCGACATTCAGCAGTAAAACGAAAGCAAGGACTGGTTGTTAAGATAATGCCAGTACTAACCGGGGAAAAAGTCCGGAAATAAAAATATAATAGCGCCCGTGTAAAACTGGACCGTGGATTCGTGCATAAGTTATGATCTCGGGAGGCAATCTTCCAGTTGCGGCACGTTTAAAATTTATTACGGAAAATATATGCGTGTGCACCTGACTCGATAAAATATTCGAAAACACATCGATGCGAGGCAAAATGGTAAAAATAAGTGCAATACGTGTCGTGTTACGTGTGTGCTTGCGCAACACACAACAATACAACGAAGCTGTAAAATTAAACAAAGACATCCGATTTCGGTTCATTCGTTCGGATGATCAATAAATGAATGTGTAACTTGTATTTGCGCCGTGTGTGGTACAATAGGAGTAAATTATGTGGCTAATTAATGATTAACGAACCGAAACGAGAGAGCGTTTGATATAATTTACAAGGGTCGCTTTGTTGATTACGTCTGTGGTCGTGTGACAAAAATATTATTTGTTTTTATTGCAAAATAAACTCATCTCAAAAATGCGTTATTTTTGAGTTTGTTATTATTTTATACCAATTTTGTTATCATTTTAAAACGATATATATGTGCACATATATTATTCTACATCCATAAATTATTTCAATGAATTGAAAAATTAATATGATAAAAAGAAAATTTTTGACAGTGTCAATTTTGAGTTTGTGAGTATGATTATTATAATGTGCATATTATTATTGCGGATAATTATTCAATACCGGTATGACAGTGGGAGAATTCGAATCTCTGTGAAACAAATATAACGAGCGGAAGAATAAAATAGGTAAAAGAAAAGGATTTGATATCATTACTGAGTGATGCAATGCGTTTCTAAGTAGTGCTTAAACGCTGGTAGAGGAGCGTTACAAATCGTAGGGTAGGAAAAAGCGTTTACGAAAGTTTTCAATTACATTAGGGACGGGCATTAAGCTCGCCTTCGACGAGTCTGTGTAGGATTCACCTGGGATCTTCACCGTGGCTCTCGCTCGAGTCGAGGGAACGAAGCGGGTAAACTTATAAACTATGGAAGTTACTTTCCTATTCAATGAATTGACCGTATATATCCTTCGGTATGTGCCTCGAAACCATTCCGCACCTCGATTTCCTTTCTCTTCTCTCTCTCCCTCCCTCTCTCTCTCTCTCTCTCTCTTTCTTTCCGAATATTTTTCCCTCTTGGTCTTATTATCTGTCACCGCACGTGAGAAAGAGTACAGCGCAGACGAGTCGACGGCGGAAAATTACCAGTTTTCGAACTGAAATGTAAACCGCGACGCGTTGCACGCGAAAGAATAGATCTCCTTCTTTTTCATCGCGGCTACATAATTATCGTGATTCGTCATTCATAAATTTTTCCGTGCAACCACTCGCGCGCAACCAGAATCAAAAATATTTTGCAAAAGGAATGCACGGAAATTTTATACGTATCTATGTGGAAATTCAACATTTCAGAGCGATTTCTCTCTCTCTCTTTCTCTGTGAATGTGTGGTTAGTGTAAATTGCGTGTGACGCGTGACAATCAGTTAAAACTGATGAGCTCGAATGGTCGATAATTCGATGTAAATACGCGGTAGCGCGGAAGCGTCGATGAATGTGTCTGCGGATGTGTCTGAATGCTCGGTTCGCTTCCTGATGCGCTCTCGTGGCGCATCAATTTTCGTCACGTCGGCAGACGGTGGCCGCAGGAGATACGACCTGCCGACTTTTACGACACGCTCTGCCACGATCTAATGGAGATACGGTTTTGTTTCCTTGTTACAGAAGTGGAAAGGAGTGTAGGCACCGCAGCACCGGGGGCGGCGGCTGCAGCTGCAGGGGGCTCTCGGGGGTTGTCACCCTCTCCCGCCCCCTCGTCACCGTCGACCCCCGTAACGACTAGCAGCCCCACTGCCTCCGTCTCCTCGCCGTCGTCTTCACCTTCACCCTCTACTTCAGCTTCCGTCCTCGTCGCGGGACTCGATAAATCAGTGCTTCAGGTAAGCTCGCTTACTTATTGCAGGTAGGACGCGTGCGCCACGACGCTAAGCATTCTGTATGTGGAGGCTACACACGCCGAAAATAAAAACTTGTTAAGAGATATTTTTTTTGTAACGTTTCAAGTTCTACATATGGAATTTACTTTTGCGAAGGAAAGGAAATAAAGGGGATAAAATAAAGAGAATTCGTGATATATGATACAAACTGATATAAAAAAAGTTCGATGGAAACAGATAATAATTAACGATTGGTTAAACTTTGTATTCTTTGTCGGGAGATATCACACTTTGATCATTCCGGTAATTTCCACGAGATGGGAGTGTTCTAAGCGAAAAGAGCGAACGTTTCGCAAAAAAAAAATCCTACTCCTGCCCGGACTCGATTTATTTCACTTCTTTCGAAACGAATTGTCTTGAAATGAGTAAATCGAAATGAGTCGTCTTAAATCGCGTTTCGTGAGAAATCTTTTACGTTAGGCGCAACATGGCCGAGACTCGCGTAAAATTTGGCCGTTTTCTCGCGTCTCCGAAAATGGCGGAATTACGATAATGGGAAGAGTCTGTCTGTCCTCAGGCATCTCTGCTAATTAAAGCGCGAGCACGAAGAGCTCGACTGACGAGAATATGGCAACGCAACGCGCGTTCTTGGAAGTCCGACACTAAGGGTCTCGCATGTTCCCAACTAGGGAACTAGAAAAAAACAAGAAAAAAATCAAAAAAAAAAAAACAAAAAAAAAAAAACTGTCGGCGGAAAATACGTTAAAAGATCTCGCATGTGGGAAAAGTCGCGTATTTTTCGCGAAACTCGAGCTCACTCGGCAGTTGGAAAAATAATTCAATTTGTGTTTTTTGTGTGCGTATCGTTGGAGCGCTGACTCGGATTTACTCTCATATTTTATTAATTTTGAAAGATTGCAATGATAAATATCACAAACGTAACGCGTGGTAACTTACATCATATGTTTAATTACACTGTGGTTTTTGAATTTTAACGAGTGGGATAATTGAAACAAATATATATGTTGGCGCTTTGTGGAAAGAATGGGAAAGGAGAAATGTGAAGAGTGTGTGGCTTAAGAGAAAAAAGCCTATTATCTCTCTGATGGAAAAACGTTCTCTTTGTAAACGTAAATTAAAACGAGTAAATTAAAACGCGATGTTGCAGAGATTGCGTTGAACGCACGAGTGTATTGCAGTGTGTTCTGTTCTGGGTGCACGTCAGTATTATAGCATGTTTCTCACAAGGGTGAGGAGTCTTAACTTGATTATCAAGGTGTCGACTAGATTGGATCCGCTTTCCACAATTAATATTCAGAGCGACGTATACCCGGTCGACATTTCTAATAAAGCGTACATGTCTCTTTTTATCATCAATAGTCACGTTTGTGATATACATACGTGTACAATTAACAAATGTAAAATTTAATAAAACAATATGTAATTATATATATATATATATAATACATTTGTATATAATTATATATTTAACTATAATTATAAAAATACATGGTATTTTTATAATTATAAAATATATATATGTTTATACTTTTGAAAGATATTTAAATTGATATTAAAAATGAGACGTAAAAATAAATGTGTTTGCTGCACAAAGATCAATAATAAATTCTTGCACTGAAAAACTTTCACGTGAATTAATCTATTAAAAGTTAATTTTACTCGCGCTTTTGCTGCGCTTTCGCTTACATGCTGGCTTTTACGAAGCGGCAACAAACTTTGTTACCGCTGTCCTCTTCTCTCTCTCTTTTTCTCTCTCTGAAACACGCTTCGTCATAAATTACATGTAAATCTGTGGCGAAGCTGCGAGAATACGGAAATAGGGGAGATGTGTATTCTTTTTTTTTTTTTTTTTTTTAGTAGGCGGATGTCAAACCGTCACGGAATAATCGGACGGCGCTTCGTGCGTGACATTTTAAACATCGCGGATAACAAAAGTTTTCCCCAAGGCTATTATAAGGACTCTGTCCTTTTCGATAACCTTATTTCTGTCGTTTTATTTGTCACAGGCTTGCAATAAAAGAACTTTTTTGTTTTTTTTTTCTTTTATTTTTTATCACATATTTGATCGCGTTCTACTTATCATTTTATGTGCACTGATTACCATAACTAATTAAATTCACGTAAAGTTCTTGCAAGTTGTTTTTACATTTTTACGTTTATTTCGTATTACTTAGTTTTTTTCTTATTTTTCGTAATTTATTTCACGAATATCGTCCGATAATATTTCTGAAATTACCGACGAATTCCGACGAATCTTTTGCACGAGCGACGAGCGAAGGATCTGCAAGCTGCACAATAACAGCCGCGCCAGATCTCGAAGAGAGTCATCGTCGGAATTGCAAAGATGGAGTCTTCGGGGCTTGCTTATATTGTTGATGCAGCATTGGCAATAACTTCTTATCGCGTCAGCACGCTCGGCGAGATCTCGATTTCGATTTTTATAGAACTCGCGCTCTCCCCGATCAATCTGATTTCGACGGCAATTTTCGAAAGAAATATGATCCCGACTGGGGATGCTTCGCGATTGGTGACGGTTATCAAGGACAGGGAATTAAATTTGTGTGACGTTGCGGACAACAGTGAAGGGAAGGAGCGAACGTTCATGCGGGCGTGTAACTCGGTCAATTTTATCCAATTATCGCGCCGGTTTCTCTCTCTCTCTCTCTCCCTTCACGCCATCTTTGATACGTCATTCGCTCGTTGTACTTGAGCCGCGGTTCTTACATTACGACGTAACCCGAAGAGCACGCAAAATTCACTCAGCCGGTTCTACTGGACTATAATAGAAATATGATAAAATAAATGAAGTCGAAATCTCGCGCGTCTTTTATATTCGCCTCGGATGTTCCCTTCGCGATTCCGTCGATCCGGCGGAGCGGAAACTTATTGTCTTTTATAGCATGAAAATTTAATTTAAAGACGGCACTTGGTCGACGCGATAAGTTTAATTCGGTTTCGGCAGACACGGTAACCATGTCGGTCTACGTGATCAGCGTTTTACGCGGGGATGTTAATATCTCCCGGATTCGTCGAAGAATATCTTCCCGACTCGCGTTACGTCTCTTCCTTATATCCTGCGGCTCCTCCTTCGAAATTCGAGTAGTATATACCCTTCCTCCGTTACGGCACACGATGGTGGTTAACGAAGCGTATCTTCCTCTTCCTATTCGTTGCGTTCTTTTTTTGTTTTTGTGTTTTTATTATCGGAGATAGAATGATGAAAGTTAATCATCTCTCTTTTGGAGAGGCGGCTCTTTTTGATATATAAAGTACATTTGTATTAAAACATGGATTATAAAAACGCGCACATCGTTATCGAGCAGATTGTTACGGTTACGCGTGTTACGTAATCTCTAGTTATTTCTCTCTTGCGGTCCGAGTTGGTGATTTTTTCAAGCATGCTTTTTTCTTTGATCACTTTTTCTGACTCTGAGCTATCACGTTTATACTTGGCGGGATGTGTCTTTTGCGCGCGTAGAAACATTGAACGTTACGAGTTTCTCTCTGTTACATCTACATGTAACATTTCTCGAGTTCTTTCTAAAAGCACTGTAATCTTTGATCTTGCACGTTTCGCTTCCGTAGGTACTAAGACAAATCGGGGACATGTATACATTTGCGTTGTTAACAACGACTTTTGCTTTGTAATTTCAAAAATAATTTTAGTTCGATCTTACACACGGTAGTTTGATCTTACACTTAAGTTAAACGACGTCGTGTGTGCAAAAGATGTAAATATTTTTTTTTTTTTTTTTCGGCAATATGTAATATCTCCGCCTATTGTTCGGATAACTTTTTAGCAACGTCTCGGTCAACATTGCACAGACTCCGGTACGCTTTTCCTATTTGCCGAGTCAACAGTCAGACTCGAGCCAGTCTAACGCCATAACAGCTATCTCCCTGCTTCCATTTCCGGCTATGCTGTCGCAATGACAAGTATTGTGCTGTTTGCATAAAGCGATGAGAGGCCTCGAGGTAACGAGACTCGAGCAGGAACCAAGTTGCCAATGAAATTCTATTTCGCCTCATGATGGGGCAGACCACATTTCATGAACGCGCGCATTGATTGAGACATCATGACATTCGTTCTCCTTCCCAAAATATCGCGTTTAGAATTAATTCGGTGAAAAATTTTACTATTTTATAGTAACATATTTATCTCATTAGTAGAGATGCAAGACGTTCAATTCTTCTTGATCGTTTGTATTTAGTTTTTTTTTTTCAAGTAACAACAATAAGTGAAGTAAAAATAAATTGACATTATATTTGATTTTGTAACAACGTAAAAAACTACGTTGGTTTGTGGTTCTGTTGTTCGGAAAATGCGAGATATTTCATCATTTCCATGAACTCGACACACAGTTGAAAGTCAATGTTGGCAAGAAAAAGCTTTGTATTCAGCGATGCGAATTTTCGTCGTGTGTGTAAACAAGTTGCATATTTGTGAAACTTCTGCTGACCACAATTCTCTCTCGTGTGTGGTTTCACATACCAAATTCCCGCGTTCACATTTCCGTGGCATTTCAATAATTTTGTACCGCGTCTCTTTGTGGTATTTGGCTTATTAGATTCTTGGTCGTTCTTGCGACGAGATACGTACGAAGCTAGTTTGCATGAATTCTGGATAAAATGCTGAGATAGCAAACATTGTTTTCTCTCCATCGTGACGTATCTGCAGTTTAAAGTGATTAATGATACAAGAATTCTTTCCTTGTTTCTCTTGTATATTTTTCATAATTAAATTAGTTTCAAACTAATTATCGGAAAGTTCATATCTTGGATCATTGCGAGTTTGCAAAGCATACAAAAGTCTTTTTTTCACGCTACGTAACTTTTTGAGAAATAAATTATTAACCAAGTGTCGCGCAGGTTTTTTTTCCACTAACTATACTCTTAAGAACGATATTTTACTCCCGTTTTAACAAAAGTTTGATAACAATTAATGTCAATGGAAAATATACAATTTAATAAAGGAAAATTGTGTTTAGTTTGCGCACACCGAGCAGTAATAACAAAAGCCTCTTTCGATTGAAAGGAACGATAAAATGGAGACGGAACAGCTTGTCCAATGAACCGTTTGATGCATCAGAAAGTCGTAGGGCGACAATCGAGAAACTTCGTGCAAAGTGCACCTGCGCCAACTTTTCACTGTTTACTGTCGTTCTGGGACAGCACCGTCGGGGATCGCTTCTCAGCGAAGAATTTTCCTGGAGGGCTAAACGTGGAGAAGACGTGAACTTTCGCGCAGTCTAATAACCTTTGCTTTTAGATATGTCTCGTGGCTATTGAACCAAAAAATAGTCGTGAACTACCTTAGACGAATAGTGTTTTTTGAGGCAACACTCGCGACGATACGATTAAAGTTCGCTGTGCTCTCTCGTCTATCGTACTGAAAATAAGGGACAGGTCGCGTCGCGCACACCGCTCGATCGTTGCCAAGCATCGTCAACGCAGTTGATTTCCGAAGGGAGGTTGTATACGCCCTAACGCGTCTTTTTTTATTACTCTGCTACTAAAACCGGTCGGTCGTTAAACTCTTGAAGCGAAATTCTCAGTTTCGGTGTAACGAATATATTCTTTTTTTACGCGCGGAAACACAGACGAGTTACGCGATAAAAAAATTGTATAATAACGGAACAAATAAATTTGTTAACGTTTTATAACGTTTTATAAAAAGCGTAAAACTTTTGCGAGTCGATGGTGAAAATTTGATTTGAAAAAAAGTATATTGTAAATTTTTTTTGAATCCACTTGCATCGCCAATCTCTCGAAGAATGAAACGAGTACGCGCAAGTTACGAATCTCGGGTGCACTCGACGACGAGCTCACATTTTAAAGGCGGGAAAATAACGCGAGGGATATATGATCATTCATCGACAACAGGCACTTAATCAAGCCTGCTTCGAGTCGGACAAGGGTGGGTGAAAGGCGGAACGAGCTCAGGAGCTTAGGACTAGGTGGCAGACTCCTGGGGGGGTTGCCGGACGGAGCGGGACCTTAATTTCCTGTAGCACTACGGTTTATCTCTTCCGCGATTTATCGACTCCCACGAAAGTTCCACGTTTGCGATCTGGGGAAACCCTCTCGTCGAAGTGCTATAGTTCGGGTTTCTTGTCTGCTCGCTGTTGCGCGTCCCGCGATCGATCAGCCCGGCGTTGGGCCGAAAATATCGGAGGGTTCTGTTCTTTTTTGCGATATGTTGTTTGCCGTTAAACCGTTTGGTCCGGGCGCCGCGATCTTTTGAAGTGTTTCAACTGCGGGATTCGACGCACAACACAAACGGGCTACGTTGAAATCGCCAGAGGAGATATTTCTGGTATCTAGCGAAGCGTTGCGCGGTCTTTTAAATGTGTTATTGGCTTTACAACTCTCGTAGTTCCATTGGGGAATGCGAAATTACGCAACTCGTCTTGATATTTAATTAAACGCGCCAATGGATTCCATTTACCAGAAAAAACTGTTAGCCGTAATGACTGTTGGAAAATGCAAATTCGCAACAGAATCGAGCGCTTGCGCTCGTGATATTCAATAGCGGCTTGATTCATTTAGGGAGTAATTACTAATTCGTAGACGTTATCGCGTGAGAATCAACTATTCTCCTTTGAAGGAGAGTTAGTTGTGCGACACGACATTGCTCGCGTCTTTTAATAAAGGATAAAAGCTTTTTTCTTCAATAAAAAAAGCCCCGAGGATTATCGTGAGATACAACATTTATTTTTGAGGTGCGACATGCAAAAGTTGTGTATATTTTTAGTCTTTAGTTCGAACTCAACTAAGAGTCTTAATGGGGATATCGAGGTACGAGGTAAATCGAAGCCGGCCACTTACGAACGGACACTCCCCCTGCTAATTTCCGCCAGCAAATATTCCAATTCCGGTCTCGCGTCCTCCCCTTCTCGACAACATACGGCTCTTTTCCATCTCATTTAAACCACTTTCGAACGATGGAGACATTTCCTGCACATTTGCGAAGGAACACGAGTTAATTGCCAGGACTAATTCGTGATTAATATCTATCAAGAGAGAGAGAGAGATTACTTTTGCGAAATATCAAATGAAAATCTATGTCGACGCTCGCAGAATCTTGCAAATATTTCAGATTGCAGTTGTGTATTATATGTCACACTATAATTCACGTTTTTTTGATTTATAAACAGTGTATCGTTTGATGAATGTGATATATATTATTTATAATTTTTTTTTATTACTTTTTTTTTTGTTGCAGATACGTGACTGGCTTACGGTCGAAGAAGAGATGTTGCGACAACAATCCGTAGTCGTCGGCGATGTCGACGAAATCATCCATCTTCTTGACAAACAGAAGGTAAGTCACTTGTCATTTTTCATATTTTTTTTTTAAATTTTTTACATTTTGAAATTATCTGAAAGTTAACAAGAAAATTACTTGATTCGTAAAAAAATTTGCTTTCATTACGTACTACACTTTGATGAAAAACAGCCGTAAATGTAAAGGTTTTTGATCGCGCTACGGCTAGATTGGTAGAACGAACGTTAGCATGCCTTTGAAGTTTATCGCAATTCTCTGTAGCAAGCTATAAAAGCTACTACTTTCGAGCTGCCTCATTTGTGCTTGCGTAGCATTATTGGAAGCACGCCTGTCGTTTTTTTTTCCCTTTTTTCCCTTCTTTGTTACATTTCAACAACGACGCCAAGTAGTCACGAAATCGGAATCATAGACATTATATTTGCTGTTTCTAGTTTATTCATGAAGCTGACTTGCATTTAATTATCAATTGTCGATCTTTCCAACGAGGTGGCGGCGAAACTTTATTGTGTGTATTTATTTCGTTTGTTCTTATTTTTCGAACATATGACGAGTGAGAGCGAGTGGTAAAACCAGCAAGGAGAGAGCTAAAAGCTCCAGTGTCGGTAAGCTCGCGATCTGTCGTGCTTCAGTATGCAGTCGATACTGTTCGACCCTCGGGGTTTGATTCGGGAGCGCTCGCTGAAGGGGTAAATGCTCGCCCATCTTTTTCGCAGATCTGGTCTACCAGAGCGCAATACCATGAGCGGAAAAGTTATCAGCTGAAGGTGATAAAGAAGGGGAAAAGGCGAAGGTGCGGCCGCGAGAAAGCGCGAAGCCGGCTACGAGTTTTCAGATCACAAAGGTAGGGGTGTGTTGGGTGACTGACCGGGAAAACCCTGACATTGGCATTGGCATTAAGAGTCCGACGAACGTTGCCACGCCTTCCTTTGTGCGTCGACGTCGTGCTGCGCGTTATTCCGCCATGGTTGTTAATTGCAGTGGACTTAATGGATCGATATCCCAAACTGCGAGCGCGACGCGAAATTTCGCTTTGTCCGATCGGCGTAACAAAGTTAGAAGTAAATTAATCAGAACGGGGGTAATATTATTTGTTTAATTAGTGCACATTGTGTGTGCGTTATAATTGCCGCAACCGTTATTTTCTCACAATGTGGCGAATGTAACATTACATCCGAATCGTGGAAAAACAAACGTTGCACATAACGATGGCGCGAGTTTTTCGTCGTAAAAAGTTGCGCGCCACATCGAGAGATGTTTCTACGTTCTTTCACCTCGAATATGCATATCTGGTCCTTCCTCTCTATCTATCCTCTCGCGGCGGTTTTTTTTTTTTTTTTTTTTCCTATGAAAAACTTTACCACGGAAATAATACGAACGTTTACCGTAAATTTTCCCGGGCCAAGGCACCCGAGAGTACATTATAGCACGTCCCTTCATTCCCCTCGTCTTTGTGCATTATGTCTGGGAAACTTACAACGTCAGCTTCGAGGAAACTGGCATTTTCCGAGCCGCATTCTTCCGCGCGCGAACGCAAGAGTCTCATTACAAATTTCAGAGACTCTCATATTCCAACACTCTGCCATATTTAAATCCGCGCCAAGTATTTTCGCTCGCGATTTAACTTCGAAAAGCGTGGTAATTTTGTCTTACGACAGCCAATTTTTTTGTTTTAATGATTTGAGACTTGATTTTAGATATGTTTTATTAAAAAAAAGAAAAAAAAGAGATAATAAAAGTCATTAATTTCGATGTGGCAGCAATTGTTTGCGGAAAAATTAATTTTACGCCCGATAATACAAATGCTGCGGGAAAAAAAATAGTCGATATATGTATATCGTTTCGATTCAAAAACACAAAATTGAAAAAATATTGATTTTTCGCGGAGATATTCGATTTCTTAAAGTCGTGTGAGTCTCACAGACCCTGTCTGATTCGTAAGTCATTTTTGAGGCCTATCCGCGAATTAAAATATATATATAAAAGATATATGTATATATAGAAAATATATAAATATGTATATATATATATATATACATATGATTTTTCTTTTCAAACAGGAATTTCTCTCTATACGAACGGCGGAACTGAAGTCATATTTTTTTTCTTGCACCTACGCCGCGCGCCAAACGAATGTTGTGAATAGGACAAATGGTACACTTGATTGATCATTGACATCGTGCTCTCTGCCAAATGACGAATCATACGGTTGTCTTATCCGTAAAACGGATATTTGAAATTTCGGGGGAAATGCGTTTTGGGGGAGAGTGACCGAAAACAATAGGTTTGTTACGGCAGCGTTGTTATTGATTTCCGATTGAAAGAGGAAACTGAGGAAGAGATATTTTGACGCGCCGAAGGCGCAGAGATAACGCATAGACAGAGATTTCGCGCATTGTGGATTTTGTACGTGGCGTAAGAGTTTGTTCTGCTTACAAAAATCGCGGCGAAATTGTGAGTAAATTAAAGGAGACTAATTATGGAATATGCGCGTTCGAAAAGATTCTGCAGTTTCTGTGATATCCAGCCACGTTAAAGCGTGGCTCTCTTCGAATCATATTACAATTATACTCGACGTAATTGTCACAGCACATTTTGTCCTGTTCTATCTCTCTCTCTCTCTCTCTCTCTCTCTCTCTCTCTCTCTCTCTCTCTCTCTCTCTCTCTTTCTGTCTTTTTCTCTGTCGAGCTTACTTAAGCTCGCTCCGTTGTTAACATTACACAACTCATTGTCGTCACCTGCTACGTAACAGGATTCGCTCTACAAAGCCCAATTACCAAGATCCAGGTTGTTCGTTAACGTAAAACGTAACTTTTCAGTCACTCGAATATTTAAACAACTAAATCTTTTTACGAGAGATACAAAATTAACAAGAACGTGTATGTGAAATGTGAACGAGACGTGTGACGCGTATGTGAGTGAGATGCGTTATAAATATTAATTAGTTTTATGTTAAACCGGGGTTCTCTCCGTTAATATAATAATTTATATATTTTATGTTAGTTATTATACATTTGTTATTGATTTTTACATACATATCTCAATTAAACCGATATTAAAAGCGGACTTGTGTGTGTTACAAGCCTATATGGTATCTGCGAACATCTGCAAAGTGTTATTACCAGATTATTATCTCGTTATCTGATTTTCTCGCAAAAGGAATCTTCTCGGTTCGCGTAAAAGAAGGGTTGTAATCACCATCGTGGCAATGATATCCGCACTAGTCGCGTGAGCCGCTCTTTCTCGCCGATTGTACCGCAAGCTTGTTCGCTTTGCGTTGTGCACGTTTATCGTACAAGCTATCGCATAACCCATTCTCTTCGTCTCTCGGACGACGTCCTTCACACACCGGGTGCAATAAACGTCCGCCCTATTATTTCCTCCGTTCCGGCTTTGTTGCCGGCGTCTGATAACTCCAGCGCAACCATCTCATCGCGACTCCAAACACTCCCACCTCCTCGTCCAAAGGATTTCAGGGTTGCACTCCTTATACCGTGGAGGACTTGCCGAGTAATAATGCCAGGGGAGAGCGCCTGTAGTTATGAAGAACCTTCCACGATCTCGCAATTTCCCGGTTACGCCGGTATCCGGTGAATAGCTGTCCTCATTCCATAACGCGCGTGCGAGCTCAGAGTTTGTATATGTGGCTGGTATATATGAGCGCTGACGTACGGAGAGTGTCGCGGATTTTCCAAGCGAAAATTGAAATTCGTCGTCTTCTCGTCTCGGGGTTTCTATCGGTACACAGATCTTCGGAGAAAATCGCGATCCATTTTCGCGAAGCCCAATCGTCGCCAGTGACGTTATCGGATTTAGTCAAAACGATGAAAAAAAAAAAAAAATCGACAAAGCGCATTTAGAAAAACTAAACTGCTTTATTTCTTTTTCGCTAATTGTTTAACAAAAGTTTTCTCACACATTGATTTCATCGTATTTTTGATTTTGGGAAATTTTTTTACCTCACTGTAGACTTTTGAAGTTTTGGAGACGAGAGAAAGTAGTACGATAACCAATTATACCGAGTTTCGACGAGAAGTTTCTTTCCGCGTCGCTGAGCGCTATAATTATTTCTGTAATTTATATCAAAAGACCGCGCGATACTCTCGCGCGCGCAACTTGTACAACTTTTATCTATCCAACATTCGGCGCACTCGAGGAAACGTCGGACTTTGACAATGAATTCATGATGAAAACTCGCAGATATCTTGTACATTTTCATAATTTTGTATTTAGCAGTAATTTTTTTTCTCTCTCTCTCTTTCTCTCTCTTTACGATAACTTATCGTCATTTCAAGTAATTTGTTTTTTCTTTCACTTTGTCTTTCTTTACTGATAATTCATCGTCATCGTCATTTTCAAGAGAATCCAAAAAAAAAAGTTTTGCTGTTTGACTTTGAAGTTGTTTGCATGATACTTGGCTCAACGCGGTAGTGTTGTAATATACCTAGATGATTTTTGCATGACTGAATGCACTTACATTATGTGTATTTATTCGTGGAAAGTAATGACTGTGTGTGACGTCTTCTTTCAACCATTTTCAGCTTGACGTTTTTTTTTTTTTTTTTTTTTTTTTTTTTTTTACGTGTCGATTTCAGCTTTCTTCAGTTTCGACACGATGCGATTTTTTTTTTTTTTTGATCCTCTCTGGTCTGTACGACTCTGAGAGGAAGAAAGACTTGCCGCTGCTTTTATGTCACTCGCGTAGTCGGTCGACACGTACTTCGGTTTAATGGCAAATGCGTTTGTGACGTACATCGTACATCTTCATATACGTGAGGGTTTTTTCGTTACATTTGTCGTGATGTGTCACAATTACGCATTTGAAAAAAACAAGACTGTTATTAGTATAAAACACTCGGTTTTACAATTTAACTTGCGTAGTACCTGGACGAGAGACACAATTAAACAGTTTAGTCACAAGCAATGTATAATTGACTTGACACGCGGTTTATTTCTCGTATGTTATTATGCTGCCATCATGTTGGATAATTGTGGAATTTGAAATTGGCACAACTGCTGTCGCGTGAAAATAATTAAA